AAAAGAAAAAAAACTAGGCACAAACCCTCATCTCAAGGCTGGATGAGGCAACCTGGTAGGAGGAAAAGGGTCCTGAGAACAGGCAAAAGAGTTGGAGAAAGCCACTCCCTCTGTTAGGATTCCCACAAGAATACCAACCTACACAACCATAACATATATGCAGAGCACCTAGTGTAGATCCATGCAAGCTTCATGATTGTTGCTTCAGTCTCTGTGAGCCCCTATGAGCTCTGTTTAGCTGATTCTGTTGGCTGTGTTCTTGTGGTGCCCTTGACCCCTCTGTTTCCCACAATCCTTCATCTCCCTCTTCAACCAGGATTCTCCAAGCTCAATGTTTGGCTGAGGGTCTCTGCATCTGCTCCCATCTGTGGCTGGATGAAGCCTCTTTTGTAGCTAGTTTTCCTGGTCCTGCCTGGCCCACAGTCAGGACAAATCTTTCTCACCCACCAGTCCTGCAGCTGCTTGGACCCAACCAAGTAAACATACAGAGACTTATATTGCTTACAAACTGTATGGCCATGGCAGGCTTCTTGTTATCTTGTTCTTCTATCTTAAATTAATCCATTTCTGTAAATCTATACCTTGCCACATGGCTCGTGGCTTACCGGTATCTTATATGTTGCTACTCATGGCAATGACTGGCAGCATCTCCCTGACTCAGCCTTCCTGTTCCCAGAATTCTCTTCTCTGCTTGTTCCACCTATACTTCCTGCCTGGCTACTGACCAATCAGCATTTTATTTATACAGAGCAATATCCACAGCACCTCCGCCCCCTTTTTTGTACTAGCAAAGACTAAATCCACCACACAGTAGCAGCGTAATGTGCAGCTTGGAGATGCTTCCTTCCCACCATACTGCCGGTCAAGCTTGCACTCCAGGAACCCACCATAGTAGCTCAAACCCACAGGCTGCCACTAACTTGAAAGAGACAACTAGGAAGCTGTTTTTAGCTCTGTTTTAGAATCTTTTTTTTCTCAGGTTTTAGGTGGAAACTCTTTCCTCACATTAGGCACCATTTGTAGCTGGAGTTTTCTCCAGTCCTGCCTGGCCCACAGTCAGGACAAATCTCTCTCACCTGCCAATCCTGCAGCCGCTCAGACCCAACCAAGTAAACACACAGAGACTTATATTACTTATAAACTGTATGGCCATGGCAGGCTTCTTGCTAGCTGTTCTTCTATCTTAAATTAACCCAGTTCTATAAATCTATACCTTGCCACATAGATCATGGCTTACCAGTATCCTACATGTTGGTACTCATGGTGGCGGCTGGCAGCGTCTCCCTGACTCAGCCTTCCTGTTCCCAGAATTCTCTTCTCTGCTTGTTCCACCTATACTTCCTGCCTGGCTACTGGCCAATCAGCATTTTATTTATATTGAGTGATATCCACAGCACTTCCCCTTTTCTTTTTTTTCAAAAAGAAAGGTTTTAACTTTAACATAGTAAAATTACATATAACAAAACAATTATCAAGCAAGAATTACAGTTACAATATTTAGTCTATTTATAATATCTAGTCTATTTGTATTTGGCAAAATTAAAGAAGATATCCTATCTATCTTACATTTGTAAGTCTAAGGTTTCATATATAACTTATCTCTTATCATACATAACTAAGGAAATTATGACTATGTAGTCTTCAACTACACCAAAGACCTCAGAAGGATATACTATAACCTGAGAAACAGGAGAAGGATGCAAGCAACTTTTGGGAGTCTTGCAGGGTAGATAGAGACAGCTGGCAGCCTGGACAGTCATCCTAAGTTCTTTTGTAAAGTTGGGGCATCTGTCTTGAGCCCATAGGCTTAGAGTCTCTCAGTCACTTTTCTCTGTGTCCTGTAGAATTTCTGGCAATTTCCTCCATGAAGCAGGAACCTAAAGGACCATTTTGCCAAGCAAAGTTCAGTGGTCACCTTCCTATGGGTCTTGCGTGTCCAGTTGATCAAGCAGTCCAGGCAAGAACAGCTTCTTGCCCAAATGGCCATTTTTGCCAAGAAGAAGATAAACTCCATATAGAGTGCCTTCGATGCCCATCCTCCTCTCTGAAGTAAATTGGTGCTGCCAGGAGCAGACATGTCTCACTGTCCAGAAAGTCTAAATTTTTAAAACATTTTAAATGCCATATTCTG